AAAAAAAAAAAAAATCTAGAAAGTTGTTCTTTGTTCATTCTTCTCGAATTCATGAGTTTAAAAAACTAAACTTGATAGACAGTTTTACTTTTTGTAGTGTCTTTTTGTTCAGATCCCCTACATTCCTTATGCCATCAGGAAAGAATTAAATATCTCAATAAAAAATGATAATCAACATGTATTGAGAGCTTGCTATGTGCCAGACACTTGATACGTGTCCTGAAAAAGAGCCATATGAAGTAGGTTCCATCATTATTGCCATTTTTCAGATGAAGAAACTGAAACATTCAAGTTGCTAAGTAAACTTGACCAAGATAACCCAGCTGGTAAGTGGTGAACTTAGGCAAGTGGATTTGAAGGCCCACACCTCTAACCATATATACTACTTCTTTGCAAAATTAATGTAAAACTTAACATTCTCCAGAACTGTTCAAGATTCCAGTCTCCTTTAAACATGTCCACTCTAAACACCCTTGCTTTTGAGTGTTCTGGCAAAAAATATATGTCTTTTTGTGGGGTGGGATCAGTACATTTTAAAGTCCTATTTGGAAAATCTGGCCTCACTGCAGAGGGATCAGGCCATTTGCAAACTGACAGAATCTGCCTTACCATTGGCAAAAAAATAACTTGATCTGTTATGTAAAAACCAAAGTTAAGATAATAACTCTTACATGTCTTAGAATTATAAAAGGTAGATTCACAACAATTCTGTTTACTCAAAAGTCATACCACTGATAGACTTAAAATGACATTCCATTAGATTATAAAAAGCATGCGTATCCTACTTAAAAAAAATTCTGTCTTTAATTCATTATTTTTTTCAGTTCAATCATTATAAAATGCAACTTAAGTGTTTAAGTTCTAGGTTAAAATTTCTCAAAGTGAAGACAGATCTGATCTGCCATTTTCAAGTGTGCCAGGTAGTTAGGAATTATGCTGGTTTCTGCATCTGGGCCTTAACACATAAATAATTATACATGCTGAGAGTCTATATATTTTTTAAATTTGTAATATGAATTTGTCTTCCCTCTCCTATTAAATTGTAAGCCTCATTCAGGGTAGGCTCCACATTTCCTGCTTCCTTTATCAAGCTGTGTATATTAAAATATGCTGTTGTCTTCCAGTCTGAGTTGCTGTGGTTTTGATACCTCAAAGGGGTTGGTGGGAGTTCTGGCTGATACTTCAAACTCATCGTAGTTCTTGGGTCTGAATACAGTTCTTGCTTTTTGATGTTCTCAAACCCCATCCCAGGCCAAGAACTAGCTTCTGAACCATTCCCTTGACAAATTAGTAAGAAAGGGATTTTTAAAACTTTAATTTTAGAAAAATGGATAACTTATTTTCAAATGCCAAGATGCTGTGCAAAGGAGTTACAAAGCAATCTATAGGACTCGCCTATGCTATTACTAGGCAGAAAGGAGTTAAAAATTTCAAGTCTTACACACATACCCATTCAGCCTTGTGCTGTTTTTCTGTAACTTGAATAGTGTATAGAATTGAACTCTGAAAGTCCTGGAGCTTTATTATTATTATTATTATTATTATTTTTTAATTCATTGCCTTGAGGAGCCCTGAGAAAGGAAGTGAGAGGGCACAGCTCTGAAGAACTGGCATTTTGGCATCTCCTCTCCCCCTTTCACCCCTCCTCCGCTATTTTAGCTATTTGACCTGATTAAACAACTTTGGGATGTTAGCCAGATTTCTGTATGCTAACGAGGCCCCTATTCATGATGTAGTGAGATTTCATCCACCGGGAAGCTCGGGAGCTTCCCGGCTGCTCAGTGGAAGCCTGGCTTCACAGAAGTCTCCCAATTTTGTCAGGGGTTCGCTAGTGAGGAGTTCACGCTGACTTGGAGCAGACACAGACTCCAGAAGCCTCGGGTCATACCGGATTATTCAGTAGCAAATTTTCCCACCTTGTATCTAAGTAGTGAAAAGTGACGCCAGAATCGCGTGTGCTACTCCCCTAAAGAGACTCTGGCAACACCTTCTGTCTAGTTACTCTTTCCTAGTAGCAGAAAGCGTTTCCAAAATTTCCTTAAACCTCGTCTGTCCCTAAGCCTAAAGGTCAGAGCGCCAGGTCCCACTTGGCTCCCCAGCCGGCCGGAATCTGATCGTTTCAGAAGTTTCTGCGGTGTGTGTAGATGAGAAGTGGTGGTAGTGGGGAACCGCGCCGAGTGACCACCGCGCATTACGTAACGAAAGCCCTGGCTGCAAGAGGGAGCGAGCCTGACATTGAGACATTCCAGGGGGAGGGGAGTTGCTGTCCTGGAGTCGCCAGGAACGGCGGCAGCAGTTCCAAGAACAGAGAGAGAGAGAGAGAGAGAGAGAGAGAGAGAAGGTGGCTGAGATAAAGAAAACACTACGGGAATGAGAATGTTAAAAAGCCTTAGGACCCAGAGCATTAGCAAACGGCTGGGCACGTGTAGTAATTTGTTAGACGAAACGGCAGCCTTCCAACTTTTGCACGGGAACAAGGGGATTTGCCCTTTGGGGGATTAAAAACGTAACAGCAAAGCCAAAAGCTAATGAATGGGGTTCGGTGGTTTGTTGGCAATACTTAAATATTTCTGTCCAGGAGCGCAAACTCTCTGCAATTATTCAGAAAGTAGGGGCTCAAACCAAACTAGAATACTCTCCCGTGCGTCTCCACTTTTCCAAATCCGAAAAGGAGCTGCTCGCGCGGTACTGCCCCTTTAAGACCTGCTTGCTCTCGGGCTCTACAAAAGGGAGTGACCTCTGGGCTTTGACAGCTCCCCTAATAACTACCACCGTGCAGGCCCCGCCCATCTGGCGACCAGCAGCGCCAATTGGCCAGCGGGCCGGTATCCCGTGCTCTGATTGGCTCGCCGCTTCCCCTGAGCGAACCTTTAGAACTCTGAGACAGACAATATTCTGTTACATTGTAGCAAAATGGCGACTGTCATTCACAACCCCCTGAAAGCGTAAGTAAGACTAAAAAATGTACATATTCCGCCTGGTTTCAATATGAAAAAAAAGGCGCCTTCCGCGTGCCGAGCGCTGCCAATGCACTGCGCTTGCAGGCGCCTGCAGCCGCGGCGGGGCTTCTCTTTTCTTTCAGCTCTTACTTCTTCATCTTCTTTTTTTTTCCCCCAACGCGCAGAAATGTCAAGAGATGCAATTAACAAGAAGAAAATTGTTACATTTGTGTTCTGCTTAATTGGAGGACGCACCGAGAGGGGTTTTCGGCAGGGGAACCAGGCGTTCGAGCGCTCTACAGGGGGGTCGTGGGCAGCTCGGGGACAGCACGGTCCCCCGAGTGCCCGGCCTCGCGGGGCGGCGAGCGCGGCGCGGGGGGCGGTGGAGCTGGGGGCGAGCGCCGGGCAGGGGCCGCCTGGGTGCACTTGGCTGAGCCCCGCGCCTCCTGAGTCCGCAGCCCCTGTCCGGCTGCTGGGTCCGCCGGGGCGAGCGGACCGTGGCAGCTCCGGAGTTTGCAGGGCGCTTTACGCCTTCCGATCGCTTGCGGGGAGTTTGTGCAAACCTTCCGGAGTTGGGAGGACCGCAGGGGGAGCAGTAGGTCCCGGGAGCCCTGCGGCCCAGGTGGTTGCCCGGGGCTTTCCTGCCGGGGCAGCCCCCCCGAGCATGACGGCGCTCCGGGCGGTCACCGGTGTGTCTGTGTGTGTTTGTGGGCGAACTGGCTGTAGTATATTAACGACTCGGGTTAACTTGGGGTTGATTTGGACGCAGGGAAGCTGCAGGTCTTATGAATGGTGTTCTCGCCTTCTCTGGGTGAAAAGCCGAGGCGGGCGGAGAGGCAGCTTGGGGCTCCCCGCCTGAGCGGGCAGCTTCTGCTCCCGGCCAGAGCGAGGGGCAGGTGCCTCTGGCCGCCGCCGGGAGACTTTGAGCGGACGCCCAGATCCCGGACGCAGGGGGGCGGGCTGGGCGAGGACATGCGGGGACCAGTCCCCGGGTCCGACAGCCAATTCTTGCCTGCCTTCCTTCCTCCTCCTTTTCATCCTGGCTTCCTTCCTTCCTTCCTTCCAGTCGGTGGAACTGTTAAGCCGCCAAGTCCGATCGTGATCGCGGAGCTTCGGAAAACTAGCGTCGCTCTACAAGGGGTGCTATTGGCAATGATGTTGGCAGAGGAGAGCTCCCCTCCCGATCGCCGCGCGACGTGGGTCGGGGTCCGCGCCTCTGGGACCAGGACTTCCCAGCTGGGCTGGAAGCCGAGGGCGAAGGGAGGGGGAGGTGCGGGTGGGGGGCGTTTCATGCAGAATTCTCCTGGGTGTGTGGCCGATGCCCGTGCAGGTTCTTTCAACTCAGCACACCGCGTTGGCACCCCGGGGTCCTCCTGGAGTTGAAAACCAGGTTCGCACCGGGGGCGGGGGAGGGGGGCGGCAGGGGGGCCGTTCCTAGCGCGAAGGAACGCGCGAGGGTAATCGGACGTGTTTGCACCAGTTTATCTCCCATCAGTAATAGGGAAAAAGGTAGTAATATCCCCGGTATCGGAGTTTTACATGTACATATATATTAAAGCTGCCGTTAAGAGGATCCTGGAAGCTGATGTTCATCACATAGCAGCTCCCGGCTTTAGTTCTCGCTCGCAGGCTCGGATACACTGCACTTGAGCGCCACAGCGTTTCACCCAAGAAAGAAAATGTTTTATGGCAGAATAAATGGGCGTAACTTCGCCGCATCCTCGCTCCCAGTCGCTCGCGCAGCCACACCACCGCTGATGCTGAGTTTCTACTGAACCTACAGCTGATTTGCAGTTTCCCCATTTCCAGCCGAAATCACATAGGCGGGCCGCTGCCACCTGGTAAACTCAAGTTAGAGAAATCTATTTCATATGTGCGCCAGGTTTGTTTCCTACTGGGAAAGCGGTACCATCGTTACCCTGGAGCCCGCTCACGCGCGGGCAGGCGCAGTATCTCTACGCTCCAGGGTTTCCCAGCTCGCTCCAGTTTTTTGTTTGTTTGTTTTTTGAACTGCAGAAGGGTGCGTGTTTGGCGAGGGTGTCTGAGTGGGGTGGGGTTAGAGGTGGAGGAAGGGACAGAGCATAGGGCTGGTTTAGAGGAATTAGTTCTGAATTATTATACTTGTACTTTGTATAATTAGAGACAGTTGCAATGAGATGTTTTGTAATTCTGTGTCACCACACTCACACGCACACGCACGCACGCACACGCACGCGCTAGCATATACACAACACCCTTGCCTGCTTTTTCTAGATGGGAGTTGAGTGGTCATTTTTAATTAGCCCCTCCTTTTTGCATCCCAAACCCTTTCCCTGGAGGTAAGGGGGTGTAAACAATACCCACCCCCTCTCCCCAACTAGCCGAGCTCCTGCGCTCCGGACGGTTTTTAAACTCCTAATGCAGCAGCACACGCGTTGTTATTGGGAGACCTACACCATCTGCCTTTATTTTTGAAAACAACTTGTTTAATAAAACATCTTATACATTTCATTTGTTTTTTAAAAGTTGCTGATCGGGAAACAATACACACGTAAATAAATTATGCATGGGATAAATTAGGACAAAGCGCAGAGACACATCCAGCTAAAGGGTTGGATGGTGGTGTTGGGAGGAGGGGAGCAGGGAGAATGGTTTGGAGAGCTAGGTTTTTATCCTCTTGTGTCCCTCCTGACAATGAAACGGAGCTGAACGACATTAGCATTTTCTCTGTGTGCGCCCGAGTCAGTCTCTCCCTTTCCTAAAAAAAAAGCCAACAACACGGACGCCCCCTACAGAAACCAGTCACACAAAGGTTTCCTCTAGGATTGGGGAATAAAGTGGTGGTAGGTTAATATGCTGGGGAGAAACAAGCTCAGGTTTCATGAACACTTCCGTGGGGCTCTGCCTACCCTGAGTATGAACTATTTTTCATTATACTGGCTTTTCCATGTGGGACATTTAATAATTCAGTAGCTCGGGTGACTGGATGGTACAATTTGAATCTCATTGCTTTGGGGTCTTCCTTAGGGTCCCAAGCTCCTGGAACCACATCTCCTCTCTTAGCAGTTTGGCTTTCTTCCTGCCTGTCTTTGATCTCCCCTCAACTCCCTTTCTTATTCCTCCTCCTTGTACCCTTCACCCCCTTTCTCTCTGAAGCTGACAGCCTGGCTTCTCTCTGTTGGCGCCTTTAACATCTTATTACTGCCCAACAGGGTGTTAGAGGCAGAAACAGGAGCCGCCTGGACTGATCAGATCACAAAGAGGACACGGCGGGTGGCCCCACAACCAAGCAGTCACATCTGGACAAATAGAATTTAAAAGCATTGATAGACTTGTCTGATGTGTAAATGGGTATTACACATTATTTAACTTAGCAGCTACATTGTCTGAGCTTAGATGTGTGAGTAACCCTCATTTCTTACATGGACAAGCAAGAGAAGGGCTATGTAGTGAGGTAAAACCCATGCAGGTAACATAGATATGGGTTTGGTAAAGGTCTATGTAGAAGTAAGTCACATAACATATTCTGGTTGATTTCTGCATACCTAGGAAACATGATGCTTTTAATATAAATTCTAATCTTACTCAATATTCTAGTTCAAGTAAACCACCTTCCCCCAAATCTGCTATCAACACTTTAAACAACTTACTCTTTTATTAAGTTATCAAAACCCTGGTTTGTATGCACTTAACTGGGAATGTCTGCCACCTTCTGCCAGACTTGATTATGCACATATGTATCTATTATTATAACTGCCTGCTTAGAAAAGAATAACTTATTATTATTTAATTATTCTATATAAACCAACAGGGCTTTTCCTCAAGTAACTATCTGTTTAAAAAGAATGAGACTAGCACACTATTTTGTCATGCTTCTAACTGTGAACATACAAATACGTTACTGTATTGAAACTTTCTTTGGTAAGGAGTTTCCCTGGCTTGGAGGTATGTGTCTATATCTCTGTTTTGTTATTAAGGAACAATTCTGGGAGAAGTAAATACACACTTACTTAGCCAAGGTCAAACAGCAGGTCATGTTTGTAGATGGACTTCAAATCTTCATCTCTTTATACATCCTATGATCTGGATACACTGTATTATAATCTAAAGTGGTTTTGGTGCCTGTGAAAGTTGTGCAATTGTGGCCACTTACAAGCCAGACCTCACTCTTGCTGTGGCACTCAGTTTAGATATCAGAGAAGAAGGGGTGTGTGTGGGGGGGCCACATTCCTGGTTCTAATCTCCTCTTAGCTCTTTCGGTCGGGGAGTGGGGGAACGTGGGTAGGTACTAAGTGGGGAATATGGAGGTTGGGACTTTGTGAACTTGTAGCCTTTTATGGACATTATTTTAGCCCCTTATGAAAAAGGACCCTCAGATATTTTAAGCCAACAGATGCCTAAGAGCCACCTTCTCCATCTGCTTCTGGTTGCCACTCAAAAAAAAAAAAAAGCCCTGAATTCCCCAAACTTCATTAGCACACATTATTTTTCAGCAGGAAGAATGTCTGGTTTTGACGATACACCCATGAAGGATATTAATTTCTGCCAGAACCCAAGTAGAGGTATTGTCACAGGGTAAACCTCTGAAAATAGCCTGTCTTGCAGACCACCTGGGAGACATCCAGAGACGGCCAGGAGAATGGGAGCTGCCGAGATCCCTAAGGTGGGCTGGCATTCAGAGACCACTTAATTGGAGACTTCTCATCTTCCTCTGTGTTTATGCAATCATGCAGGTAGCTGGAATTTGGATACATCTGAGAAAGACCATAGTGTCTAAAGCGGCTTCAGAGCCATCTGCTCAGATCAATGCAAAAAATAAAATGCTTTGGTCAGCAGGCTTTGTTTTGCACCAGAAACAGAAAGGAAACTGAGGCTGACTTCTCTGTTTTCAAAGTGCAGCCTCCGCTGATTGTAGTGGCAGTGGGGGCTGGGTCATAAAAAGGCACAGAGTCCAGGTCTGTTTATTATCCCAGCCTCTGCAAAGTAACTTTTGTGGTTTTTGAGTGTTCTGAAAGTCAGTGGAAGAC